TCTTTTTTTTTTTTTTTGAAATGTGGGAAATTATTTGCAATAGTTTTCTTTATTTATAAGATTATGCATATTAAATCCTAGACAAACTATACTCGCCAACATTTTATTATTTAATAATTAAAACTGTTTACAACAAAGTAAGACTATAGAGATGGATTTTCTAATGACAGTAAATATATCCACCGCTATATATGATTCCCTTAGTGGCAAATAACAATAACCATCTCCCATACACCCATACCCATAACCTATCAATTGGTTTTTGCAATTTAGGCTCCGTTTGGTTTTAGGAACATTGGTTTGGAATTGGCTATTCAAAATCCAATCATTTGGTTGAAAAGAATTGGAATTTCATCTCCAATTTTATTAGAATGGTATTTTCCCATTTGAGGAAGTGGTCATTCCCTATCCCTCTCTTGGAAACAAAATCTCATTCCTGTTGATTCCAATTCTCAATTCCATTAATGTTTGAACCAAACAGACTATGCGAATAGACTATTTTAATTATGATTCTGATTCCAACTACGAACCAAACAGATCCTTAATCTTGGGATTGGAAAATTCTAGAGTGATATTAATATGTTAAGGGTCCGTTTGGTTCATAATTGGAATGATCTATTCCCATAGTTTGTTGGATTCATATAGGAATCAAAATGAAACTTGGAATAAGCTAAAATGGGATTTCATTCCCAAAAAAGGGGGAGGGAATGGCCATTCCCTCAAATGAGAATGGGATTTCAATTCTGCCTAACCAAACAGTTAGAATCAGAATGACCCATGCTGATTCCGATTCCAGAATCCTATTCCTGCGAACAAAGTGGGCCCTGAAATAATTTAATTAAGTGTAAAGAAATCATAGGTAAATCCATCTTTATCTGTTTGAGTTTGATTTGATCACCTATCAAAAAATGTTTGATTTGATCCACTTTTCTTAAAGTTTGGTTGATGTGCATATAAACATAGGCACTTCCCTTTATCTCAAACTCTATAACTCGAACCTTCGACTAAATCATTGTTCTCAAGCACATATATCTAAGTTTGTAACCTAATGTCTCAATCCATTGCAACTCAGGCCCCATTTGGTTAGGCGTTTAGAACCAGAATTGGAATGGATAATTTCAATTTCAATTGTTGGGTTGAGTGTAATCAGAATTTTATTCTCATTTCTGTTAGAATGGCATTCCCTGCCTCTTTTTAGGGAATAAAATCTCATTTTTACTAATTCTAATTCTAATTCTCATTTTTATTCTTATCTGAATCAAACAGACTGTAAAAATAGATTATTCCGATTCCAATTTCAAAAGTTTTGGATTCCAACTCGCAAACCAAATGAACCCTCACTGTTTCAAAATGTATTTATTCTTAGGCCGAAATGCTGAATAGTTGTTTAAAACCTATTAAGCTATTGTAGCTTACTATATGCACATCTTTTGGTTTAGGGAAAATTGTACCGTCGAATCAATGGTCACATCACCCATATTGTTTGTTTCCCTTCACTTGATCTTACTTGGTGCCTGTTTTTTTGTCACCATCCCATCTTTCTTGTTTACATGCACTCTTGTCCGTTCATTCCCATATATAATATATTTGCTAGTATATATGCCTTTAAATTATAGTAAGTCCTATTATAGAGATGTCCTCCTCGAATTCAAGTTGCCCAGCAATGATCCAAGTTCCTACCACTACCCTTGAAATGATAGAAATTATTATAGTAAGTTCAGGTAACTAAGAGAGTTTGGTGTAGTTAATGTTGTAGGAGGGAGACCTTTAACACCAACTATTGGGAAATGGGGTTATTGAAATTCGGAGAAGTTTTGAAGTGTGTTTGAAGATACCATTTTTAGAACGTTATATGTCCCAACTCAACTTCATTAAGTTTGTTATTGGATTACAAGTAAATTCGTTCCCAGGATACAACAGAGTCTTTGGCAATAATTTACAACCAGCAAAATTAAAGAATCTCTAAATAAACCTTCTATGAAACTATAGTCTTATAGGGGTATGTATGTGGGGGTATATATGTGGGTACAACTTGTGGGTAGTGGATCTCGAGTCCCCACTGAACACCACTGCCATGTATTGAGATAGTTGTAATGTTAAGTGAGTAGGGATGTGAGAACAATTTGTGGGCAACAGGCTCAAGGCCCTTTTAGTGATGAAAAAAGACAATACCATTCAGTAGTCTTATGGGTGCTCATGGTTTGGTTAACCGAATTAGTACTACCAGTTTTTGAAAAACTGAACCGAAGCCAATCGATTAATCGGTTGACCGGTTCAGTTAACTGTTAGTTTTCTATATTGGTTAACTGAAACCGAATCGATCGTTTCAGTTTTGATCTGTTTTTTTGGTCGGTTCAATTTTTTGGTTATTTTGCTCACCCCTAAATAGTCTTAAAATGACATTTGTGTATTCTTTTCAGGTTTAATACATATGTAAGGAGTGACAAATTGACAATAGACATGGCCTAGGAGATTTGAGATCAATACTCTACATTTTTTAGGGAAAATTTCACTTTAGTATCTTGAACTTTGGGGATAGTGTCAAGTTAATACCAAAACTTTCAAACTTGACACTACAGTACCTAAAATTTCAAAAAGTGTCAAGTTGGTCCTTGTTTACCGACCATCAATTATCTATTGAAAATGTCAAAACTACCATTCAAAAGAAGACACTACTCATTGTCTTCTACATTGAGATTGAATCGGATATCTGCAAAGAAAAAAAGAAAAAACATGAAATATGATAGAGTGAAACAATAATTGAAAGCAAATAAATAACTAAACAAGAATGGGTTTCATATCAAAAGGTAAAAGGCAATGACTTTATTAGTCTAGAATCTCAAACACCTCAACTAGTTCAATCTCAAGATAGAAGACAATGAACAATGTCTTCTTTTGAAAGGTAATTTTAACATTTTCAACTAATAACTAACGATCGGTTTACGGTAGGGACCAACTTAGTACTTTTTAAAAATTAAGTACTACAATGACACGGTTGATCAAGTACTAACTTGACACTACCCCAAAAGTTCAACCCCCCTTTTAGCCTGGTTTAATGCAACTATAGATACAATTTAAGTGGGCTTTGATTGGATTTTTGTCAAAATTTGAATGAACTCGGCTCAAATGCTTGAATTCGGAGCAGTGTAAAATGCTAATAACTCATGCCATCTTGAGTTGTACCGGTAATAAGACAATTTTCCAGTTGTGTCCATGGAGTTCATAGTGAAATGTATTTATGCTTTTGTAATTAACTTTCAAGTTCAACTATGGTGCATTTCGAATACTTGATGCATGTTAAATTAAATTTTCAATCAATTACATCAAAACATCACATGATCTATAAGGTCTGTTTAATTTACAATCGGAATTGGAATAATCTATTCTCTGTTTGGTTGAGATAGGAATAAGAATAAAAATTAGAATAAGTTTTAATAGGATTTCACTTTAGAAAAAAAGGAGGAAATTGTCATTCCTTCAAATAAATTCACCAAAAATGTGGGATCTGTATTCCACTCAACCAAACGGTTAGCTGATTCCGATTTCAGATCTCTATTCCCGGGAACCAAGGCCCTTAATTTTCATTGGTTAAAGTTTTACGGTATTTACCTTAATAGAAATTTATTTGTAATTTTTTTTTGTTGTGATGTTATGTAAATATATATATATATATATATATATATATATATATAAAGTATTACAGGTTATAAAATATATATATAGCGGTAGATACGACAACCACCTCAAACTTGCCACGTGGAAATAATGGAAGTGTCACACTACCACCTTCAAGCAAACTTGTCATGGAATAAACTAGTACATTCAATGCTCTGGAGCTTCAAATTATCCAGCATCGTCGTTAAAGAATGCTTTCTGCTTTAAGAAGAAGAAGAGGTGTGGCTATATTTTAAGCATTAGTTATCTGAGTTAAATCCGCCATTAATGCACCAGATTTATTAATTAGCGGAAGCCTCGAATGATTTATTTTTTAAATCACAACCTTCCAATACCGAATCTTCATTCCCTCGATGCGGACAAGGCAGATCTAACGAGGGCTCCCCACACAAAAGGCCTTAAACTTGGATTATTACTAATTATACGTTTAACTTGTCTCTTTATGTCCCACTGTCGTGGGCCCCCAGGCTTGGGGACCAGTTTAACAACGTGTCATAATCCCGCTGCATGTACATGATGATTCCAACAACTCCAGTTGCAAGCTATTATCACCATTAAACTCGCCGCCTTAACGTTCTCATCATCATCAATGCAAACATGTGGCCACAATGCGCTGTGGGCTCCACCACTCTTTATGTCGCCACGCATGCTAGTAAGTAGCTAGAAGATGTTCATCATAGAGTTGACCCTTGACTTTCTCATGGTGTGACCCGACCCATGGTCTAATGGGTCGGGTTAGATTCTAATTGGCTCGAAGAGTGGCTAATCCGACCCAATTCAAAACCGTTGAAAGTTCGGGCCCGTTTGACATGTCTTTCTGTGTGATCTTTGGATTGTTTACAAGTCGTGAAAATTAATTTTTGATCTATTTTCGTTTGGTACATAAAAGATTTAGCCACCAAAAGATGAAACACCGAAAAGACATTAAAAGCCTATTTCAGATTGATTTTGAGAATCTCCAAATAAAGTTTCTCGCATCTTTTACATTTTAATTTCGTGTGGAAAGACGTAGAAAGACACATATCTATTAAACATGCTTAATCTGCTCAAATCTTCATACAAAAACTCAATACATCTTTTGCAGAGCTATCGTAAGATCTTCCCAAAGCTCAACCCCGAGAGCCGCAATGCTTCATTTTAACCCGGATAGAACCAAAAAAAAAAAAAAAGCACAAGGTGGCTATCATATAACCGGCACTAACCCGGATGAAAGCAGCCGAGTTAGCCCGGACCATGTTTTAAGATCGGTAAAGGACATTCTGGTCATTTCAATTGAGGGTAAAGCTAGTATATAAAAAGAGGACACGAGGTAAATAAATAACTAAAGAAAGATTCCATCCAGCAAACAAAAACCAGAAAAACGGAAAAGTCCATTCTGTCTCTCTCTATGATTCTATCTCTCGGTTTTCAATACTCGGAAGCTCTGCGCTCGTTTGGCTATGTTTTTTCATGGCGCCAACAGCTTCCAGCGGTTTTCATTCTCCCGTTGCTTTAGCTTTAAATGCGGGCGTTCTTCGTTATTCAATGAAATAAGCGGTCTCTCCTCTCCAGTCTCCACCTTCGTTTTCAGGTACATTTTTCTTTTTTCATTCCAGTTCAATATACTCAATTGCTTGCTTTTTTCTTCTATCTTTCCCTTTTTCGTCTGCACTTTTGGTCAGTGTCGAATCTCCAACAGTCATTTTTGTAGTAACTCTAACGTTCTAAAAAGTGTTTAAAGTTGAATTTAATCACTGCAGTCTGCAGTAGCAAAGAGGATTCTTAACATTTTGTCTATAATTCATGAAGTTTCGTCGCTCATGACGTTTTGTTCTACTTTTTCCGAGAAATCGTACCCTTCAAATCCCTTAAACCCTTCCGTTTTGGGAATTTGTAGGTCGGTGTTTTCTGGGTTTTAATGGATTCCATCACATTCGACCCGTGAGATTTTGTAGTGTCGCCTCAGAAGTCAGAACCTCTAGGGTTGAATTGATGTATTGAGAGGCTCAAACAGTAAGATATCCAACTTAGTTTTTGCCATTGGGTAAAGGAACTTCTTCTGACGCTGAAATCCTCTTTCGAATTAGCTGCTGCAAAATTTGCTCTTGGATGTGGTTTGTTAAACTGGATTGGCTTTCCTTGGACAAGATTTTGATCGGTGAAACTCCCGTTTTAGATCCGTTTCAGGTTGAGGTGATTTGATGAGGGGAAATGGAGGGGCGGATGAAGAAATACAGGCAAACGAGCCCGGAGAGGGCTAGAGTTTGGACGGAGCCGTCGCCGAAGCACCAGAATAGAAAAGTTCCAGTGGTTTACTATTTATGCAGAAGCCGCCATCTAGAACATCCTCACTTCATCGAAGTTCCCCTCTCGTCACCCGAAGGCCTCTACCTGAGAGGTAAAACCAGAATTTTTCTTGTTAACTCCCCCCGTCGTCTTCTTTATTCTTGAAATTGGACGTTTCTGACTTTTGTGTGTTTTGCAGATGTGATTGACAGGCTTAATGTTCTGAGAGGAAGAGGCATGCCTTTCATGTACTCATGGTCTTGTAAGAGGTGAATGCTCAAGAGTAGTGACATTCGCAGTTTCTCCTTTCTCACTTTAGAACTCCTTTTAGGATTCATGCTTATAAGTTTTCATCTCCCCTATGGGATTGGTGCAGGAGCTACAAAAATGGTTTTGTTTGGCATGATCTTTCTGAGGATGACTTGATTCTTCCTGCACATGGGAATGAATACGTTCTTAAAGGTTCCGAGCTCTTTGAAGAATCATTCCATTCAGGTAACCGCAAAACAGATGGATTATTTCATTCCAATGATGAATTGCTTATATCATGCCAGAAATAAGGAAAATCAAGGTCCTCAAGTTTGGATTTTTTTCCCCAGATCGTTTCAATCCAAATGGTAGCACAAAATTGCAGGCCCCGAAGCAATTGCAAGACCCTGCATCTATCCGCAGCCAAGAGGCATCTTCATCTTCTTCGAGCAAGGCTGGGAAAGATATGAGGCGTCAAGAAGAGGAATTCTCCCCTCCACTTCAACGACTGAGTCCTTCCGGTATGTCCCCAGATTATAGAGTTGGAAAGAATCCCCCTTGGGGTGGATCTTTGAGCTTGACAGAGTACAAGGTTTCTAAAGGTGATGGAGCAACTGATGCTTCAACACAGACCGAGGAAAGTATAAAGAGAACTAATGGCCAAGAAACCCGTATCAGAGGTGTTTCTACAGATGATGTCTCACTGGAGCTTGAGGATCATAAAAACCAGGTTCTGCAAGTGAAAGAGAACTCTGAACTTTGTAGGGAAGAGATTTCCCCACCTCCATCTTCTTCAAGCACATCATCTTCTTGTGGGAAGACAGAGACTTTAGAATCTCTAATCAGAGCAGATGCTAGTAAAATCAATAGTTTCCGGATACTTGAAGAGGAAGAAATTCGCATCTCTTCAAATACTAAATTCAAACCAGCAAATGTGTTGATGCAATTGATCTCTTGTGGTTCCATCTCAGTGAAGGATCACAGTTTTGGGCTCATACCAACCTACAGACCAAGGTTTTCTCATTCAAAATTCCCCTCACCATTATTCTCTACTTCAGTGATGCTTGGAGAGGTTGACTGCTTCTCAGATAACCCAAGGCTGATGAGCCTGAGATTGGAAGATAAAGACTACTTCAGTGGGAGCTTGATCGAAACTAAAACTCTGAAGGAAGAGGAGGATGGATGTCCTGCCCTCAAACGCTCTTCTTCTTTTAATGCTGACAGGTAATTCTGATTCCAACTTCATGTAGAAATTCTTGGTAGCTTTAGTAGCGTAGGTTTCAGATATTTCAGAATTGACTTGGTCAACTTGTTTGAGAGTACCTAATTTATCAAAATTTTCTAGAATTGACTAAATTCAGCTGAAGATTTGCCTGAATTGAATAATAGTCGGATGTTGAGACAATTCCAAATCTTTTCTGGAGAAGAAAGGGGGCTGTGCTTGATTTGCACTACTTTGAATTCAGCATCTTTATATATGCTATGTTAATTTACACTCTTTTGAAGATATTACATCTTTCATTGGAGGATCTATGTGGGCTTTTCTGATTAGATTTACAAAATAACAATATATATAATTGTAAATTGCAGGACTTCTAAAGCAGCGGATTCAGCAGATGTCAAAGAGGAGACAGAGTCGACTCATTCAAAATGCATCCCAAGATCAATCAAAGCATCTTTAGGTAAGCAGCTAAGGAGTGAAACAATGAGATCTCCTGTTTCAGAGGGGGCAAGGAAATCTTTGGTTGGATCAGATAGTGTACAATCCATGCCTCTGTCTGTATCCAATGGTATCAGCAAAAGAATCATGGAGTTTTCATCAGCAAAGAAACCATCAAAGAGGCCAGACTCTTTTAGAGAAGAGGATGTGATCAAAATTGAAGAAAGTTGAGTATCGACTCCTTCATGTTTTTTTCTCAAACTGTTATTATGGATTACTATTGTGTTATTATTATTATTTTGTTGTTTCTGTTGATCGAGAATGCATATAATTTCTTTCCACAGGCTTGCTTCAGGAGCTCGGGTTATAATCCACTCGAAGCCTCCTTATGATGATAGTGGAGTAATCTACTAGAGAAAATAAAGTGGGTTGGGTTGGTGAGTCTCTTTACTACATACTTGAAACAAAGGGGGAAGAGAAATGTTTATGGGAGATTTGTATAATCTTGTAACAAACGTGTTGATTTTGTTGTATTTCAAGTGGAGGGACCTTGTTTGTTTGAATTTTGAGGAAGGACCAATGAGTATTTTTGGCGGGTTGGTGCCTGGTGGTACTTCTGTAAAATTCAAAAAAGGATCAAAACAAAACAAGTTTCTTTGAAGAGAGAGAGAGAGAGAGAGAGAGAGTGGTGGTTGGGATGCAGACTGCATTGGTTGTGGACCAACTTCTTGTGGTGGTTAAGTTTTGTTGTCAACTTTGTTCAATGAGAGTATGTACTTTCCCATGTCTCATCTGCCATTCTTCCTGTTTCTGCTTCTTATGTCAACAGCACCAATGCCCACCTGCGAAATGGAGGTAGTGAAAGGGTGGTGCAGTAATCTTGTAGAAATAAGATTATGACAAAGGAAGTGGAGTGGAGTTGCAGATTAGACAGAGCTGGGCTTGTCCACTTTTTATTTATTTAATTTAAAGTTGCTTCACCATTACTTCTTCCCCTCCTTTTTGTTTGTTTCGACTCTTGTAACAGAGGCATAAGCTCAATTGATCAAAGCAAAGAAGTCAAACTCAGAGTTGCCTGTTTGTGTTGTGGTCTCTTTGTGCTTCCCAGAAATCGGGTTCCGAGCTTCGTAAGAGGCCGGAGTTTTGAGGCTTGAGCTTGAGCAGTTGAACTCGTGAAGGCTGGAGCCTGGATGGAGGGGAGGGTCACGTGTGGCTATTTACATGAGTTCAAATTTTAATTTCCATTTTGTCTGTCATTAACACGACCCAAGAACAGAAACTGAAGACAAATCAAGAGTGAGAGATTACAATTATCTGTTTTTGTCTGTTACCAACAAACACCACCCAAGAATCAAGAGTGTAGAAGACAACAAAACTTACCACCTGTGCTGTCTCTTTCACTTTTTCGGAGCTGGATGCCCCACATTGGCGGTGTCCTTTTCTGCTTTACGAAGTTGGCGCATCGGGCAGCCCCAGTGGCTTTGTCCTTCCCTTCTGCTTTGGCAGCTCACTAAAGATTAAAGACTTTTAACATTATTTGTGCAGACGTTCTCATCATCTCATGCCTCGAAATGGACGAGTCTTTTGCGTGGCTCTCCATTCGATTGAATGGAGTCATACAATCGGGTTCATAACTTCATATTACGGATTCTTATGTTGTGTATCGCTAATAAAATCAAGGGTTATTTACTTAAACACCCCTTGTAATTTTATATATACTAAACCACCCTATAATTTGCGATTATTTATTCAACCTCCCTCATGAAACTTTTGTATTTCCATTTGGGAATAGTCACTTGACCTCTCTTAAACCAAGTGGAAAATATGAAAGGGCATGGATCTAAGATTTTTTTATTCCAAAAATATCCTTAAAAGTTCTCTTTTGAACCGGGAATGGTCATGTCTTTGGATCGGGTTTTGCTTTAAATCATTAATTCTCAAAAAACCATTGAAATAGTCAAAACACCGCTGATCCGGGCAGTTAAACTGCTAAACCATTTGCCTTTAATGAGTGTAAATAGAGAAGATCTCAGATCTGAGATAAAAATCAGTCAAACTGCTGCCACCGGCTCACTGCTGCTGTCCAATACCATCATCGCGGGTGAACCAACACCACCTCCTTCTTCTTCCTTTCTTCTTTCTTTTCTTTCTTCCCTTCCCTTTCCTTTCTCTTTTTTATTTTCTTTCCCAGCCGACATAACTCTATAATTCTTCCTAACCTGACCTAATATGCTAAATCAATGGTCAAGATGCAAAAATTACCTTGACCGTTTCAACCTGGACTGTCGAACTGCTGACCCAGAAACCGGTGGCCAAAGCGGTTCAATGTCCGGATTGGTTTTTAAAACCTTGAGTCTATTCCTCCTAGCAGTTTAGTTCAAACGGAAATCGGAATAATCTAGAATGGATTCTTATTACCAAGGGAGGGGAGGGAATGGCCATTGGTTCAAATGGAGGAATGCCATTCTACCTAGAATGGAAATAGAATTCTGATTCCGCCCAACCAAACGATTGGAATTGGAGCGGACCGAATTCCAGACCCATTCCTGCAACCCAAACAGGCCCTTGAAGGTTTGAAAGAATTTCTTTTTCTTTTTATAAAAAAGGGGAAAAAGATTTCATTTTCACAATATGGCGTCAAGAAAACGTAAACTAGACGCTTAAAACTAAAAGAGAAAAAAGAAAAATAGTTCACAAGCTCTAGTACACTCTGATAAAAGATAACTATTTCCACAAGCGTTCTTATATACACATGCAAAACAGCTGCCAAGCGATTTGCCAACAAAAAAATATTTACCCAAATGCAGTTTGGAACTTCCACCGGGCCTTGTCCACGGGCTTGTATTGTTTTTGGGTTTGTAATCCCTCTTCATTACCACATTGCCTTATGATGATATGCAATGTCTGATTTTGGGCTGATTGCTTCTTTCTCCAGTTAGATTGTTTGCTGGCTATTCCTGAATTGTGGCTTTCCTGTATCATCACCAACCTCCAGTTCTTGGCACGAGCCAAGTTTGCTAGCACAAGGAATAACAGCAGTGTCAACAAGGTTTTTGTAGGTAAAAGAAATCCATAATGCAAATCTAGCATATTTTATGGAGATTAACAAACTGCTTTCAGAGGTAACTAATTTAAAAGATTGAAATGTTAAAATCTAACCTTTTTTTCCTGGTCGAAAGGTGGCGTTTGTTTCAAAAAGTGGAGAGGGAGGATCTACATGAGAAAATGTACAAGCAGGACAAAAGGCAAAAGAACCTGGAACCCACCCAGGGAATTACATAGGCAAAGTATTTGCATTGTACAAAAAAACCCTTTACACCCCAGATTTGGATAGAGTTTCAGTTGTATGATTCAGTTCCCTTAGAATCTATTTAACAGTTTGAAGCTCTAAGAATTTCATTCTGGCATGTAGTGCAAGATTATCTCCATGGTGGCCTTCCCAATGGGAAATCACCACCATTCACCATAGATAAAGCCCTTCACAATGAACATCATTCCTCAATAGAATTCCCACAAAGACCACCTAATCAATTGGGGTTTGGTCAATGCCAATCAGAGGTTGAAGATGCATATCATCTATTGTTTTGGGCCCATTTATTGTTATGGTGATGATGAGGGATCTGGTTTCTCTGATTGCATCTTGGCCCTCTAAGGTGTTTGGTGCCTGGTGCCTTGTGTTGGGACATTTGGCTCAAGCGCAATAACGGAGTCTTCATTCAATCATGTTCAGAGATTGAAAGATTGATAGGTGCATGATTGAATGGACCAGTGTTATGAAGTCAGAAGGCATGAAAAAGGAGCAACTCACAAATCAACGGGAGATCTTTTTTTTTTTTTTTTTAATTATGTAAATGAGTGAATACTAAATACATTTTATTAAGTCAGTATACTTTGTGTATAGCTGTTCTGGCCTGCGGAGTCTGGACAGTTTCCTTTTGTAATTAGTTCGAGAGAATCTCTCAAAAAAAGGCACGTGTTCAAGTAAAGATACAAGGCTAAAAGGATAAAAAAATCTGGATTTTGAAAATTTTAAATCCCTTAATTTAGTGATTAAATTTAAAGATTAAAATATTTGGGCAACCTTTTGCAGGTATTGATATTATATGATACTATCAAAATGTTCTGATTTAACCTTTATGGTCTGAATATAAAGCCAAGGCAAGTAGTGGCATTATATGGTAAAGATATTCAATCTCAGATTATAATTTAAGGTCTCTGCAACAGCCAGAAATTTTAGATGGGGAGATGAGGAGCATTAGGTAACTTGAATGTAGCATGTACATTTCAAAAGTTTAGAACTTCCATTGAAAGTTGAAACTTTGATGCAGTTGCCTGGACACCGCCAATTGTACCTTCTAAATGTTAAGCCATCAGCAGATTCCCTACATCATAAATCTAGAAAGTGTCCTGAAATATTCTAATAGCATGATCAAGATTTTCATTTTAGATTACCAACAACTAGCAAGTTGGATTTTATTGAGTAGGTACATTGTCATTGCTCTGACATTTTACCATTTCAATTTGAAGGCAATTTGGTTTGTTCCTATGATCAGGAGATAGTTTGTCACGTCTCACGTGGTGATTGAAAGATAATTATATGGCAAGGTAATAATAATATTGTCTATTTATTGATAAAAAAATAATATTGTCTATTGCCCAATAGGGAAGTTATCAACAATTGTCAGACTCACCTGATTAATAGCAAAATGGCTCATTGGAGAAGTTGGAATGCTAGAAGAGCCAACTGACAGTTCCTACAATGTTTTAAGCAAAAGAAATAAAACATAACTAAAAAAATCTAGAAAAAAAAATAGCTATTCTAATGATTTATAACTAACAGAGCATGATTTTCCGCAGCTTCACCTGATTAAGGTCAAAAATATTTGGTTCAGAGGTCTGGATGCATGAAAGCCCAGCTAATGATTCCTATAAAAATTATGCAATAAAATTTTCTGTAAAATTGTCTATAGGTCATAATAAGAAAAAAAAATGAGTGTTTGAAATTGCTAACCCCAAAATTGGTAGCATTAGAAGAGTGACATTGGCCATTCAGATCACCCAAGGAGCCAGCAGGAGCACATGCATATACACAGACATTTGGCCACACATACCTATCATAAACATATATTTTATTGTTACAAAATAGGAGCTTAATTTATAATAAATCAAGAGTATCGGGTATACTTACGACAGCCCACTGCAATTTTGGGATTCTTGTTCATCTTTCTCTCCAACATGGCATGAATCATCTGGGACAGAGAAGAAAACAAGTAAAATAAAATTAGTAATCAAAACATCGAGATAAATGACATCAACAAGAAAAAAGTGTACTAACAACTGTAGTTAATACCATTAATCAGAAATTTGGTATTCTGATACATACCAACTCCCTCCTTGCTGGAACAGGAAGGTGGCCCATCATGTTCAATTGAAGTGGGCCCTGCTGAAAGTAATGTTGTCTCGTTATGTTCACTTGATCCCGGCTCTGGTGAGAGCAAAATATCACCATGCTTGTCTGATTTAAGCCCTGTTCTAGCTTTCGTTTTTCCTTTGTCTTCCCCCAATGAAGAAATGGTTCTTTTAGGCGGTTTCCCTTCTGCTTTCTCATGTGCTGGATTACATAATAGTTTGTTCTCAGAATTCCCTCCATTCAAATGGAAGTCTGAGTCTACAATATTCTTAACTTCGACTGTAAAATCCAAACCTTTAGGGTCCTCGATGTTTGGCTGAACAATACTTGTTTCTTCATGAGCAAAGTTTCCTGGTTCTTTTAATGCCATCTCGATTTCATGCTTTTCTGTTTGATAAGCATTTGTGGAAGTCTCACCTTTTGCATAAAGGTCAGAATGTTGGCAGCAAGAGTCCTTATGATGCAATGCTGATGACTTCTGAGAGTTTTGATGCATTTCCCTGGCATTTTCCTCCAGAACAACATTAGACTTTACCTTTTTGGTCCACCTCTTTCTAATGTACGTCTCAGGAATCAGCATAACATTTTTCACCATGAAGACTTTCAAGATGTGCCTGCAGAGTATGCCTGAAAATTCAAATTTCTGACAACTACATGTAATCTGAATATCTTTATTATAAGAGTTGAAATTAACAAGAAAGTTCCTGTTGTGCCCCCATCTTGACACCATGTAAGTAGAGTTTGCCCCTGCCCTTCCAGTTTCTTTAGCAATGTGCTTGAAACTATCACAGAACTCATTATGGAACTCTTTAAACACTGATCTTGTATAAACATCAGCTGCTTGTTGTTCCATTGGAAGGTCCAACTTCAGTACCGGCCTTGTTTGGTGGGATATAAAGTCTTCGTAAGTTTCCTTTTCACGTCTACTAACAAGTGCCTTCTCGCATTGTTTGATAAAATCACTAAGAGGAAGAGACTTGTTCAGGTATCCATTAAAAAAGGAGTTAATATTTTCAATTCGTTGACTTGTTGTCATGTCAGCATGGAAGATGTACCTTGAGTAGGCTGGAACCCATTTGTGCCGTTTCTTATACATATTGTCAAGCCACTCATCATCACGGAGTTCATACTTGTTAAGTAATGATGACCATCTAGATTCAAACTCATCACACCACTGAGACTCATAGATGCATTTCTTGAAATCTGTAATGAAACCGTCCTCAATTTTGTAAAGATGGCTCAAATGTTTAACTGCATTCTGGAAGATGTGCCATAAACATAAGCGGTGATGGGTCCTTGGTAAGACTCGCTCAATTGCTTTTGCCATTACTGCATTTGGATTAGTAATTATTGAAACTGGATGATGATCAGACATCACTTTCAAAAATGTCTCCAGTAACCAAACAAATGATTCCTCAGTTTTGCTGGAAAGTATTGCATAACCAAGTAAGACTGTCTGTTGGTGATGATTAACACCTACAATTGGAGCAAAAGGTCTCCCATACTTGTTAGTCCCATAACTTGTATCCAAGTAAATCACATCTCCAAAGTAACTATAATCCATCCTTGACCTTGCATCAGCCCAGAAGAAATTCATCCTCTTATCCCTTTCATTTCCTTGTATTGCATAAAAGAAGGATGGGTTTGCTTCTTGCATATGCCTAAGGTAGCTGAGGATAACCTGTGCATCTCCCATTTTTACATGCTTTCCCAGCTTTTCACTTGAATGATATTCTAAATCTTGTTCAGGATTCTCATTTCCATCAGCTTCTCGTATCAAGTCAGGTACTGCTTCCATTGGTTTCATCCCTGCATCAGGTGTCATATCATTTAGTTCTCCATAAGTAGATTGATTGCATCTGTGGGACCTCATCAAATGTATTTCTCCTTGCTGAGCACATTCATGGTTATGTTCCTCACAAAATTTTTGCACAACCCACTTACCACTGTTCGCCTTCTTCAAGTCTAACTTTGCATTACAACCAACCCTTGAAACTAGATGATTTCGTTTGCTCACCTTCGCTGCTACTCCATCTTTAACTTGATTTGTTTCATCATTATCACTTTCAAGACTTTTTCGACTATGACCTTCCTTCGAACAGCAAAGTCTACGGAAAAGAATCGATCCATCAATATTTGATTTACGAATTTTAGCTTTTCGGACACTAAAACCTACAATCCTTGCATATTCATTGTAAAAAAGAAATGCCTTGTCAAGAGAGTCAAACTCCATCCCTACAGATGGTTTAGAGAATGCCCTTGTACCATTAACTGGCCCCTGAGTGGACTGCTTCCGTTTGTGAGACCTCAATAAGTGTGTTTCTCCTTGATGAGCACATTCATGGTTATGTTCCTCATCGAATTTTTGTACAACCCATCTACCACCATTCTTTCTTTTCACATCTAACTTTGCATTGCAACCTACCCTTGTTACCGGTTGATTGTGTACCCCCACCTTCATTAAAGCACCACACTTCATTTGCCTGGTTTCATTGGTATCGTTTCCACGTTTATTTCGGCGATGGCCTTCCTTTGAACAGCAAAATCGACGAAAAAGAAATGATCCATCAAGATTTGATTTACGAGTTTTACCCTTCCTTACACTAAAACCCACAATCCTAGCATATTCATTGTAAAAAAGGAATGCCCTATCAAGAGAATCAAACTCCATTCCAACATATGGCTTGTAACATGCAACTTCATCAAGTGCAGGTAATCTGCTCGGTGAAGAATATTCCTGCACTGCATGAGTCTCAAGATTTGTCACTTTATCTCCAAATTCAGGAATGACTTCAAATATTCTATCACTGGCATCAATTGAGTCAGATGTGCTTGTCCTTTGCATTTGATGTTGTCTTATGCCTATGATACATTTATGTCAAAATAAAATAGAGTTCGAAATGTCAAAGACTGAGAAATAACTTAAAACAAATCTCTGCAATCCCAAGGCAATTGATCTAAAATGTCAACAAGTACAGAATAGGCTAACAAGCACTACAATGAAATATAGAAACCTCTTTCATATATGTGCATGAAAAAGCAATGGAATTGATACCATAATTTTCTCTAGGCCACCAAGTTCAAGTCAGACATTATTCCAATATTTATATGACAATAAGAGAAATATGTTCTTTTATAAATTTTATTTAAAATTAACACAAAAGAACATGCAAAATCAATAATTTAATATTTAAATAATCAAAAATCTAATGAGCTCTTTCTTGCAGTCTAAATGTACACTTAAAAGGGAAGCTAAAAGTGTGGGGTAAAGAGGAATTTAAAAAGTTTGTGGAAGACAAAAATAAACCAACTCAAGAGCAAGATGATCTAGACCAAAGAGAGCAACTGGGCACTTTGGATGAGGAGGGTAGAAGCAGAAGAGAAACTCTTAAAAAGGATTGGGAGAAGCTTATAAGAAGGGAAGAAATCTTTTGGAGGCAAAGGTCTCGAGTGAGATGGTTGAAGGAAGGAGATAATAATTCAAAGTTCTTTCATAGTTATGCATCAGGGAGAAGGAAAGACTATGCCTCAAAGCTGAGAGTGGGGCAGAGAGAGACAGAGGACAAACGAGAAATTTCAGAAGCCATAGAGTAGTTTTTCAAAGGTTTGTACTCAAAAGACGGGTCCTGTAGGATTCCTTTGAATAACTGGGAGGGACCTAAGTTGTCGGAGGACAAAAAGTTGTGGCTAGAAAGAAGCTTTGAAGAGCAAGAAATTAAGGAAGCAGTGTTTAAGATGGATGGTGATAGAGCTCCTGGTCCGGATGGATTCCCTATCCTTTTCTTTCAGTTGTGTTGGGATACAATTAAGTCTGATCTGTTGGAGGTGTTTTCAGATTTCTACATTTCGGGCATCATGAATAAAGGCAACAACTCGACCTTTATCACTCTAGTTCCAAAGAAAGAGGGGACCTTGGAAGTTAAAGACTTCAGACCTATCAGTTTGGTGGGGAGCTTATAAAAAAATTGCGGCTAAAGTTCTTGCGACTAGACTAAAGGAGGTGCTGAAAGATTTAATTTCAAGCAACCAAATTGCCTTTGTGAAAGGGAGATAATTTATTGACAGCATACTTGTGGCAAATGAATGTGTAGAAGAAAGAAGACAAAGTGACAAGGCAGGGGTAGTAATCAAGCTGGATCTAGAAAAGACCTACGATAAAGTGGATTGGGACTGCTTGTTGGAGATTCAAAACCTAAGAGGCTTTGGAAGGAGATGGGTGAGGTGGATTAGAGGGTGTATAAGTTCTGCTTGGTTTTCAATCCTAACAAATGGAGAGCCGACTGGCTATTTTAATGCAGACAGGGGCCTGAGATGAGGGTGACCTCTCTCCCCCCTACTCTTTACTTTGGTAGCTGATATCCTCAGTTATTTACTTCAAAAAGCAAGGGAGAGAAGCCTGCTGAAAGGGTTTGAGGTAGGTAGGGAAGAAATTCAGATATCTCACTTGATGTTTGTAGATGACATTATCTTGTTCTTGGAGGCGGATTGGGAAAACATCTCCAACCTAAAAAGGGTATTAAATATTTTTGAGCTGGTTACTGGGCTTAGAATTAACTTAAACAAAAGCAGTATTGTAGGCATAAATGTAAATGGTTCTCTGCTGGAAAGGTTCAAGGAGCTGTTAGGTTGTAAATTAGAGAAACTTCCTATCACCTATCTGGGAATGACTTTTGGTGGGAATCCAAGGAGTCAAAGTTTTTGGGATCTGGTAAAAAAATGCGAGAGAAGACTGGCTACATGGAAGAAAAGCTACCTGTCAAAAGGGGGTAGGCTCACACTTACTTGTCGGTTTTCAGTATCCCGGGCAAAGTAAAAAGTAAGATTGAGAAGCTTCAGTGGGATTTCCTATGGGATGGTGGTGGCAAAAAGAAGGGTATCTAGTTTCATAGAATCAGGTGTGTAAGCCCAAGAACCTTGGTGGTTTGGGGCTAGGACATATCAAAGAAAGGAACCTAGCTCTTCTTGGAAAGCAGTCGTGGAGGTTCCCCTTGGAGACGGAAGCGTTGTGGACAAAAATCATCAAGAGAAAGTACGGAAGACATGCCAATGGTTGGGATAGCAAGGTCCACCCAAACCAAGTTAAAGCCTCTAACCCCTTGGAAAGGTATTTCTTCTGTTTATGACCTCTTTATTGATTTTGTAAGATACCGGGTGGGAAATGGGTATAGTACCAAATTCTGGACTGATTTATGGTGGGGAGAGGACACCCTTGCAAACTCCTACCCTAGAATTTTTAACCTGTCCTGTTCCAAAGAAGCCACTGTAGCCTATAGCCTCAGTCGCTCTCCCTCAGGAATCAGTTGGAATCTGAACCTTAGAAGGCCTTTAAGAGAGATAGAGCTTGCTGAAATAGCAAACTTGCTAAACTCTCTAAGTGAGGTTTACATCTCCCTGGCCTCCCCTGACCGAAGGATCTGGAAACTTAATCCTGCCGGCAAGTTCTCAACTAACTCCTTTTTTAAGGCTCTAGTTTCAGAAGATCAAATCACCCCCTTCCCGGTTAAGAACGTTTGGAGACCACATGTTCCCCCTAGAGTTTCTTTCTTTGTCTGGGAAGCCTGCTTAAAGAAAATAAATACTTGTGATTTAATAAAGAAAAAGCTTAGAGGAAGGTTATGTATCTCCCTCATGTCTGTCCTCTCTGCCTTGGTGATGGTGAAACAACCAACCGCATTCTTCTCCACTGCCCTGTCACTCGGAAGGTTTGGTGTTTCTTCCTAAACTTAGTTGGTTACAGCTGGGTTTTCCTTGAGAAGGTAGTGGACCTCCTGTGGCAGTGGAAAGGCAAAGGTCTAGGAAAAAGAGGAAGGGTATATTGGAGTACAGTGACACATGCAGTCCTTTGGGGTATTTGGGAAGAAAGGAACAACAGAACCTTTGAAAACAAATTCAGAAATGTGGAAGACCTAATCTCTTACATAACTTTCCCCTGTAACCTTTGGGTGGTTAATTCTGAAGCTTTCAAAGGTCTGCCTCTAAAAGACTTCCAAAGTAACCTTCCAGCCATCCTGCAGTCCTCTCCTAGATCTGAATTGACCATGAGAAGCCTTATTGTGGAATAAGGTGAGGTGATCCTACACTTTGATGATAGTGCCCAAGGATCTACCAACCAAGCAGGAATTGGTGGTGTCTTCTGTGGGGAGAGGGGGATCAGCTGGGCTTATAGTGGTCCGATTGGGAGAGCTGATGCTACAAAAGCAGAGGTCTTGTCAGCACTTACAGGAATTCGGCTTGCTAAACAGCTGGACTTTTGCTCCTTAACTATAAAAGGGGACTCTGCAAATATGATAGCCTGGCTAAGGGAGAAGGGAGGGCCTTGGAGACTTGCTCATCTGCTAGCTGAAGCTCGAGATATCTTACAGTCATTGAATGTAAATCTGGTCTGGATTCCTAGGGAGCAAAACACTGTTGCAGACAGCCTTGCAAAATCAGGGGTTTCTAAGGAAAGTTTGTATAGTGACTTCTGCTTACCTCTATAATTCTGCATCAGTTGATTTAGCTTGTAGTACATTTTCTCATGTACTTGTTCCTGTTTTAATTTAATAAAAGTTACCTTTGCTAAAAAAAAAGGGGTCGGCTACTGCCACCAATACTGTTTCATCAATCTGTTTTATTTAAAGCCATATCCATTGTTGAATTATTAGTATCTAAATTATTTCTTACTACTACCCATGTCCTTTTGGTCTACCCCTAGCTCTTCTAGCCCCTTCAACTTGTAACAAATCACTTCTTCTAACTGGAGCTGTTGGTGGCCTTCTATGCAAGTGACCAAACCATCTTATTGTACTCTCTCTCATTTTATTACCTATTGGAGCTACTCCTAGGTTCCTACAGATGACTTCATTCCTAATCCTATCCTTTCTAGTTTTTTCCACTCATCCATCTTAGCATTCACATTTCTGCCACACTCATTTTCTGGACATGTTATTTCTTGACTGCCCAACACACTCTTGCATGCAACATAACTGGCCTTACTGTTTTATAGAATCTTCCTTTTAGTTTAAGTGGTATCTGCCTATCACATAAAAGTCCAGATGCACCCCTCCATTTTGCCCATCTTGCTCCAATTCTTTGGGTACATCCTCAATCACTCCTTGTTATGAATTATTGAACCAAAGTATCCAAAATGGAGCATGAATAAGTATAATATCCCAAAAGAAGCCCCAATAGTGTGGCTGCCTAAGAACACTGCATAGGTAAGAAAAGGCTAAATGAATCATTAGGTTCAACCACTTGTTCAAAGTCATGTGCATTTGGAGCCAGCACTAAGATTTGAATATTGGCTCCTTGTGTTTTGGGGTGGAGTTAACTCAGGAGTCAGGAACTGATAAACTATGGGTTTTTTGCTCATTTCAACTTGTAGCATTATTAAGATTCTAGAAGAGGTGTTGGCACAATAGGATCAGTTAGTTTTAGGCATACTAGTAAGTAGTAACACTGATGGGAGGGTAGATTGTACTAGCTCTAAAATACAAATTTCGGCTCTTTTCTAGTTTGCTCTCTATGTTTATTTAGTAAATTGAGGGCCTTTATTTTTATATTTCCTGTATTGGTTGTTTAGTTTCCAATACTTGATATGATGTTTCATAATAATCTCATAGTGTTCCTAATAGTTTCTTAACAATGGATATGGCACTAAACAGAACGGAATGATGAAACAGGATTCATGTAGCCGACCCCATATAGTTGGGATAAGGCTTAGATGATGACAATAATAATTCAATGAAGAACATCTTGGCAAGTCTTTCCATTAATTTTATGCCATTCTGAGAATTTTTTGTGTCAATTGAAGAAAAACAGAAAGGGCCCATAGAAACTTCTTTTGTTGGAGTAAGATGAACAAAAGAAATTTCACCAAGTAAATTCAAAAAAGGATGAGTATGACAAAAAATGTCATCTGGGCTTAGAAACTCAAAAGTAATTGATATAGCTCTCAGTGGTATCTGGAATGTGGTAGAGAACACTTGGCAGTTTTTTTAATTTTCAACTGCAGTTGGACTTCTAGGGAACTATCCAGCCCATGTGTGTAAGTTCTTGTCAAATGCATGCATTTTTTTTCTTCTTTTCAAGGAGATAATAGTTACATTTTGATAAGACTTTGTTTTTAAATCTAAAACTCAAGATGATTGACCCAGTAAACTGATAAGTCAACTGAACTGACATAGTGAGTTGAGGGCTGATCCTTTGATTCTTTCCAGATTGAATGATTCTACGTTTAATTCAAGGTAAATTTGAAATTGGTTCTTGCTACCAATCCATCTAAACCAAAACCCTACTATTCCTCTCTAGTCATTAATCATTATCATTTGAAAAAAAAAACCTCGGATTTTTTTTTTATCTTCTCAATCTCTTTCTTCATGTTCACAATCTCTGTCTTTTAGTGATTTCATCTCCCCTCCAAGGTGATCACCATGTTTGTTGCATCTAGAAGGGACCTGATGATTAAAGCATTTATAAATTATAAAAGCAGCAGCTCCGCATGGTAAGACTTTGAGCACCTCCTTGCAGCAGGAATATCAGTAATCCAACCAATCTTTTTCCAGCATGCAGAGTCTGGAAGGTTTTCTTCAGCTTCTCATATACATGCACATGGAGATGTCCAGTGCTCTCACAATGACAATTACATTTTGAGAAGATGATTAGAATGGTGTTTGGAAACTATGGACTTCTGAATATACCATCCCAGAATGCAATCAATCATGTGTACACCAAGTAAGAAGATAGCATCCTCTTCTTGGTAGAGATTTGGGCGTTTGAGTCATAGTTTAAGTGAACGAGTCATCCAAACAATGCAAACTATTACGCTTTAAGTTACAGAAACCATCTAGCTCTGACTTTTAAGGAATAAGAAGCATCAAGTCAGTAGAATTCTAGAAGGAAAATATAACAGGGATGCTCCTCTATAAACTCTCCTCAATGAAGTTGGTGAACAAGGTAGACCAAAGAACCCGGACCGACTGGCTACTTCAGCATTACTGATAAGAGCAACTCCATTTCCCAATGTCTATATCAACTAGCTTCATACTCAGAAATATACAAGGCAGCCCACTCCCATTTTTCGTTTAGTAATTGCTGCTCTGACCTTAGACTATCTTTCAAGTTTGTCTTGCAAGCATTCCTATTTTCTATAAGGCCAGGTGGGTTTCCATACAACCCAGTTTAGTAGCTTACCCACCAAGGCGACCATTTTGTAGTTCATGAAAACAGGAATAGCTTAATTAAATCAACAACAGTTGTTAATCATGACCAAATAAAAAAAAATGCAGTTCACCAAAATAAAGGAAATGAAGGATGCCCATGAAATGGAAACATTTTAAAAGACAGTCTTTCCTTGAAACAACGCCAGCATTAATAAAATAAAACTGAAAAACAGAAACCCCATTACGAAACAGAGAGCATTCATCAACAAAGTCGATTGAACCGGATACCATTTCGAAAAGGAGGGAACAAAATAACAATTCAGAGTGGAGTAGAGCATAAAATATGTGGAAATTAAATAGACGCTGAGTCATTTTAGTTCCAAGGCAAAACAAATGAAACAGCAAACATAAATAGGAAAAGGAAGGACCTGTAAGTGGAGAAATTTACATAAACAACTACGCTACGCCGGGGATCACTCCTATGATGGGAAGAACCGAAGAACTTTCAGTACTGACGACCGGCCAGAACAGCCAGCGAAGGAGAGTGGAAGAACGAAGAAACCCCGAGATATGAGACTCGTGGGTCGTCGTCCTCGGAGGAGTATCCGACAAATAAACGTCAGACCGCATGGGTTTTGGTTGCCCAAAAACAGACGAGCCATGGCGAGTCCTCCTTGGGAGGACAAAAGACGTTTTCGTTGTAAGGCTAAAACTGTAGGATTGGAACATCTCAGTTTAGGGATTGACGATATACATAACAAATTGCGCCTATATTTCTGTATTTTCGATTGTGACACGTTGAATTGGAATCCCTTAAATAAGCCGAGAGAATTTACAATCTTGAGTGTACGGTCTTGATACGATATCCACCGAATCCCGAAGACCAAGACGGTAGGAATTAGAAATTAGAGTGCGTGCGTAAGTGTCCGGGGAGATACATAACAATATAACACAACATACAGAGTCCAGAGTTCAGTTGAAGAGGTGTAATGCGGGCCGTGCCTGCCTGGCTCGGAGTCGGAACCCCTCTGAGGGGAAGCCCTGCATGGCTCGTAGCACGAGCCCAGGCAGGTCCATGCCGTTGCTAACTATTTTCTTTTTTTTTTAGTAAAAAATGACTAATATTTAAAAAATAAAAATTTTAATAAAAGACATAAAAATAGAAAAAAAAGTAATAAATTGAAAAAAAAAATCCAAAAAAAATATTTCATTAAAATGTAATAAATACAATTGATCATATACGAATGAAGTGATAAAATTAAATTGAAAAAAAGTACAATAGAATTGAAGTAAAATAATATAATAAAACTGAAAATAAAAATTACATTGAAATTAAAAAATCATAAATAAATTTTAAATAAAACTGAAATACAAAATTTACAAAAAATTTAGAATTATTGTACGATTATTGAATATACAAAAAATAATAATGACTTAAATATTTTTGTCAACTTCAAGGTCCAACTTCTCCATCTCCTTAATCTTGATCTTCATAATCTTCATCTGGTGAGCCAGTGTCATGTCTTCCATAATTTTATAGTTTGTCTTGTGCATCTAGCTTATATCCTTTAAACATATGTACATCTCTAGGCTTTTGTCATTAATGTAATTATGTGATTTATATATATTATAGATTTTAAATAATAAATTTTTGGGGTAAATTACAAAGACCACCCTAAACTTTGGCTGTTAGACAAAGACCCCCTTAGTTGTTAAGCCAAATAATGTATGTGTTTGGCTCCATTTATGTTTATTGAATAAACGTTTGTACTTTATTTAATGGTAAAACTGAGAAATACAATAATTGCAGCCGTTTATGACAACTAGGCGCCACTAGGAATCATTTCAGCATAACAGCTGTTTGAAGAAGCTTCAAAAAATAACTTCTACAAATGGCTGGCATGCACATAAACCAAAATTCACTTTTTACATTTTCGATGTATGTAGAAAAGCAAGAGAGAGAGAAAATGCTGAGATGGTGCCTATGTGGCACCATCAATAAACATATAAATGTAAACGGAACCAAACACACTCAATATAATGCATTAAATTACCAAAATACCTATCAAAACAACATTTTGTATTTTCTTTTAATTGCTCTTTTCTCTTAAAAGAGGCTGTGAAATTCCCTGCAGTCAAATTCACCCATTCATTCCTTTTTTTGTCTTGAAGGATCCATTGAATTGTGGTGCATATTTGGGAATTCGTCTCATTGAAACATCAGGGCAAGATAAAACAAAGATCATGCTTGGACAACGGGTCTAGCCTGAGGTTCAGAATATTTGGTGCTTTTGACGTGATTCCTAGTGTTTTGGTTATCTCGTGTTTGATGCTTGTCGACGCCAGGATCCATGGTGTTTACAGTGGAGGGCCATGGTAGAATGCCCATGCTACTTTCGACGGTGGGAGCGACGCCTTTGGAACTATGGGTGATGGTGCGCAATCCGGCCGGTCTTAGCTATCAACGACCTTGCCTCTGAACTGAGCAGCAGGGAACCTGAAACGGAGAGGATGAGGAAGCTCCGGGAGGAACCCGGTGTAAAGGCTCCGAAGCTCAAGTTAGAATCCTTCAAAGGCGA